TTTGTATTTTTAGTAGAGACCGGGTTTTGCCTTCTTGGCCAGACTGGACTCAAACTCCTGACCTCAGGTGACCCACCTGCCTTGGCCTCCCAAACTGCTGAGATTACAGGTGTAAGCCACAGCACCCACCTTGATTTCTTTTTCCTTCTTTTTTCTTTTTTTTGAGGCAAAGTCTCGCTCTGTTGCCCAGGCTAGAGTGCAGTGGCGCAATCTCCGCTCGCTGCAACCTCCACCTCCCGGGTTCAAGTGATTCTTGTGACTCAGCCTTCCAAGTAGCTAGGATTACGGGGGCCCGCCACCATGCCCGGCTAAGTTTTACAGTTTTAGTAGAGACGAGGTTTCGCCATTTTGGCCATGCTGGTCTCAAACTCCTGACCTCAGGTGATCCACCTGAGGCTTCTTAAAGTGCTGGGATTACAGGCGTGAGCCACTGTGCCAGCCGATTTCTTTAAATAATATTTCCTCTTCCATCAGTTCCTTTCCTTCTTTTTTGTAAATACCTGCCAGGCTGCTCTCTGGAGCCCAGTACAACCTTCTAAATATATAGTCTCTATCTGCTAAAAACTTTTCAGGGTTCCCGTTATACTTAAGTCAAAATCCTTGCAGACCTGCAAGGGTCTTCATTTTTTCATAATCTAGCCCAGAGGTGGAGAGGTAGATCCATGCCTATCTCTCTGGGTTTCAGAAACCCTGCTTTCAGTTCCTAGAATATACTACCTTCCCTTTCGGACTTTGCAAAAATAGCTCATTCTGCCAGGAATGCTCTTCCTCCGCATTACCTTTTCTGCCGTTTAACTGGTCCAACCATGAAAGCCACTTTCTCAAGAGGACCTCTCTTAACAGCGTTTCCCAACAACCAGCGGCTTCCTCATTGCACTTTTGGCAGTTATGATATGATTGGCTTCTTGAGGGCTAGAATCTTGCCCATCTTGCTCCCAAATTGCTCGATACATACAGAACAAACGGATATGCATTCATCCCCCCTTACTCGGAACATACACTTCCCGCCCTGCAGGGTGCGTGCCCAAGCCTTGTCCCGGATTCTCTCACCGCCTTTGCGGTGCGAGAGAGACCCGCTCTACTCCCGGGTGGGCCCTCCGGGGCTGAGAGGGGAGGAACTAACCAGATGTGAATTCTGCACCTTCTCAGTCCCAAAGACCCAAGCCTCGACCGGGCGCGGTGGCTCACACCTGTAATCCCAGCATTCTGGGAGGCTGAAGCGGGTGGATCACCTGAGGTCAGGAGTTCGACCAGCATGGCCAAAATGGCGAAATCCCGTCTCTACTCAAAATACAAAAATTAGGTGGGCGTAGTGGCGCGCACCTGTAATCCCAGCTACTCAGGAGGCTGAGGCAGGAGACTCGCTTGAACCCAGGAGGCGGAGGTTGCAGTGAGCAGAGATCACGCCACTGCACTCAAGCCTGGGCGACAGTGCAAGACTCTGTCTCAAAAACAAAACAAAAAACCCCCCCACAAAAACCAGAAACAACAAAGGCGCTTTCAACTTACTCTCCGAAAGCGCCGCCACCTTTCTTTCAACCCGGAAGTGCTGTTGTAGAGGAAGCGGAAGTAGTCTTGCGTCATCTTCCGGCCCACTTGGCGTCGTGCTGCCATGGTAACACGGCTGCTGCTAGGTCCTGAACGCGCGCGGTTGCCTACCCATTTTCTTTATGGGGCCTTTAGAGGTCAGGTTGAGCAGAGAATACTCCTAAAACGAAGAAAGTAGGACAGAATCCCTCCACTGACGTACTAATGCATGCATGCATTCCATTTATTTCAGTTTTTGGTGAACTCCAGGAGCAGCTTGGGAAGACAGATGACAAATCAACTAAGATAATTTCAGATTATCTTGTAAGGAAAATAAAATAGGGTAACCTGATGGAGAGTGACTAGGGAGTGGGTGCTACTTTAGATGTAAGGGAGGGCTCACTGACGAGTGACATTTGAGCTGAGTTCTAAATGAAACGTGCAGGAAAAAATCTAGGCAGAAGAGTGTTCCAGGCTGGAAGTGAGTGCAAAGGTCCTGAACTTGGTTGCTGGAGGACCTAGGAGAAGGCCGTAGCAGCTGGAGCACAGTGAATGCAGGGAAGAGTGGTGGGAAATGAAGTCAGAGGTCTGCAAGGGCTAGCCGGTGCAGACTCTGATGGATGTTAAGCTTGGATGAAGTCTCAGAAGGCTAGAGCTAGCAAGAGTTTTGGAGATCTAACCCAGTCTTCCCATTTCAACAGAGTCCTGAAGAAACTTAGCTGAAGGGGAAGCTTTAACCTGGCCGTCAATTCGAGGCCATTATATTTACCAACCAAACGTTTAATCTTTTTGGATGGTGAACGTGTATGATATAGGCAACAAGTTTTCTCACTTAATCCCTGTAGGTATCTATGAGGTATTATTAGCCCCACCTTGTAGATGAGAAACCTGGGTTTACGGTAACTTGTCCAAGGTGACTTACATGGGCCAGCCAGAAATCAGACCTGTGCTCTTTCTACTACTCCATTATCTTGCCCCTTACTGTTCTATCTGACTTCTATGTGATCTACCAAGTGACTTTGATTAAAAAATGCACAACCGGCCAGGTGCGGTGGCTCACACCTGTAATTCCAGCATTATGGGCGGCCAAGGTGGGTGAATCATGAGGTCAGGAGATTGACACCATCCTGAGCAACATAGTGAAACCCCGTCTCTACTAAAAATACAAAAATTAGCTGGGCGTGGTGGCACATGCCTGTAGTCCCAGCTACTTGGGAGGCCAAGGCAGGAGAATTGTTTGAACCAGGGAATCAGAGGTTGTAGTGAGCCGAAATTGTGGCATTGCACTCTACCCTGGCGATAGAGTGAGACTCTGTCTCAAGCAGGCTGGAGAAATGATGAGCATATGTATGCACTCGTGTTGCCAGGCAAAGGCTGCTCCGGGACATGGATGTGCAGTTCGAATTCTGTCTGCAGAAGTCTGTAAATGTGGTGTTGTCCACTGTTGATATGTAAGGCCTTGAAGTCCAGGTTTGTCATTGGTGTCACTTGTTCTGTGGTGAACCCACTTACCTAGAGCCTTGTGGTGTTAGTGGTGCATGAATGAACCCACAAAAGGCCGGCACTAGAGGAGAGATTAGAGATCATTCAGGTTAGTGGTTTCCAATCCTCCTCCAACTGCACCAATCACCTGGGAAGTTTTTTTTTAAATGCAGATTTTCAACTTTGCAATGCATTTTATATTAAACACTATTGTATCACATTAAAATCTTTGGACATGATAATGACCTTGTAGTTATACATGGGAATGTCCTTGCTACGTGATGAAGTACCTAGGGTTAAATATAATGTTGACATATTTTCAAGCGATTCTGTAATGTGCGCATGTGCATGCTCACACAGTCACAGAGAGAGAGACGGAGCAAGAAAATGTGGCTGGTGCTGGGGACTCGTGAATCTGTCATCCAAACTACACCACTTTGTAAGCCCCCTGCCATTTCGCAGAGCTTGGTTAAAATGAAACATTCCACAGGGGTTCAGGCTATGAGAAACAGCCTGCCTTTTATCATATTCTGCTGGGAGAAAATGCCAGGAACATCACATTCTGCCGGAACAATGGCCAAACTGCCTCATCATGGGAATACCTTATCAACATCTTCCGGGGCAGCAGGCCATACCCCCCATGCCCCTCCCCACCCAGGCCTATAATTGCCCCAGCCTGTAAGCAGCAGTGGGCACTGGCATTAAGCTGGTCTCTCACCTTTTCAGGTCTTATGCTGGACAGAAAGCCAGTATTTGCTGCAGAGCCGCCTCTCTCTCTCTCTCTCTCTCTCTCTCTCTCTCTCTCTCTCTCTCGTGTGTGTGTGTGTGTGTGTGTGTGTGTGTTTCTTTAACCCTCGCCTTCCCTTCAATACCTAACAGAATCTAGGTGAAGCCTATGTGGATTTTCACTGTATTCTTCTTTTGACTTTAAACTTTTCTGTAGGTTTGAACTTTTTCAAAAAGTTAGGTGTGGGTGGGTAAGGGCATTTTTAAAAATGCAGTATCTGGCCTGGTGAGGTGGCTCATGTCATCATCAGAGCAAGACTCCATCTCTTAAAAAAAAAAAAAAAAAAGAGGTGAGCCTCAGATGCCATTTTCGGATTTCTGATTCAGTGACTCTGGGGTGAATCCTGTGAATCTTCGTTTTTCCTTTTTTGGCGCATGGTCTCATTCTGTGATCCAGACTGGAGTGCAGTTGCCCAAACACGGCTCACTGTAGTCTCAACCTCTTCAAGCGATCCTCCTGCCTCAGCCTCCCTCATAGCTGGGCCTCCAGGTGTGTGCCACTACACCTGGCTAATTTTTAAAATTGTTGGTAGGGATGAGACCTCACCATGTTGCCCAGGCTGGTCTCAAACTCCTGGGCTCAGGCCATCCTCTCTCCTAGGCTTCCCAAAGCAATGGGATTACACGGGTGAGCCACCGAGCCCAGCCCAAATCTATACTGTTCAATTTCCCTTCATTCTGTTGCTTAGATTTGGGAACCATTGATCTAATCCTACTCTAGACTTTCCTTGTCACCCATCTCACAGGAAGAAGAAGAAAACAGTCCTTAGGATCCAAGAAGGTGACTCGCTTGAGTCCACCCGGTGGGTCGACATCAGCATCAGGGTTGGAATGCGTTTTGTGCTGTCTCAGGTGTGTGGGGGGCGCAGGGAGCAGAGGTGCGGACAGGTTGTGAGTAGAATGGGGGTGGGCGGAGGATGGAGTCTTTAACTTGGAAGGCAAGTGTAAATGACCCTCTAGAGCCACGCTGCTTTGAACAGAGCCCACTGGAGATTCTCGGTTCTCCTATATCGATTCAGGAAAACTCCAAGAAAGTCCACACTGGTAGCCACCAAGAGTTTCTTGAAGGAAAAGGACAAGCAGAACCAGGCACTGTTGGCGTCCCGTCGCCAAGGAGACGGGCCGTTGCAATCGTCCTCCAGGGGTGGCCTTGATTTCCTTTCCTCTCCCAGTTCGCAGCACGAAGCCCAGGAGACGCCCTGAGGATCCCGTGGGGCTTCCGCAGTGATTGAGGGATGCTTGCAACGAGGGGCCGGCGCGGGGGTGGCGCACCTGGCTCCGGAGAGGTCCCGGCATCCGAGTCCCCCCCCCCAGGGTCCCGGTGGTGCGGCCCGGGTCGAGAGGCCGGAACCTTGGAGCTCCCGGCTGGCCCCGGCGTGGGGAAGTGCGCCTGACCCAACCTTCGGGCCGGCTCCCGGGAGACCCCAGGGATGCCAGAGGTCAGGAGCTTCCGCCAGGACCTCACGCGATGGAAGAAGCAGCAGCAGCCTGTGCGCCGCACGGTCAGCCAGATCTGCCCGCCCCCGCGGCGGCCCCTGACCGTGGCCGACATCCGTCCCGGCATGGAGAACGAGCGGCTGGGGGTCGTGCGGGACTCCATGTTTCAGAACCCACTCATCGTCAAGGTGAGCACCCCACGCTCACCTCGCTTTCGCGCTCGCCGGCTCAGGGCACCCGCGCCGCTGGGGGTCCCCACCCTCCGCGCCCTGGCCCCGCGGCCCCGGGTCCGAGCGCAGGTCGGGAAGCTCCAGCTCTGGTACAGACAGGCCTGGACCCCCGTGCCGGTCGCGTCGCCTCTCTGAGCCTCGGTTTCCCCATCCTCAAAGTGGGATGATAATGGCATCACCAAAGGGACTGATTGGGAAGATTGAATAGGGTAATTTTGTGGGACCCCAGGACAGCGCCTGACATGGGGTAAGGCTGCAATGGGGGGCTGCTGTGGTTTCCCACAGAGTGACAGGTCGCATACGCCCAGCCTAGGTCCTGGCTGCCAGCCCTCCCAGGCTAAAGGCCGCCTCTCCGGTTCCCCTGCAAGCCTGGGCAACATCTACGCAGCTGGGGCTCCGAGTCTGTCCGGAAGTATCACGTCTTAAGTTTGTTTCCGTCCAATCACACTCATTCTTACCCAAATCACAAGCCTCGGGGCGAATTTATCTTTCGCCACTGGAGGGCAGTGAGCCTTTAAAAATGCGCTCCGCGTCCCAGGTGCGGGAGTGGAAGGCGCAGGTGGTAGCGGTGGATTCAGCAACAATTATTTGTGTGACCGCCAGGCGCTGGGTAGAGCTCAGAGGTGGTGGCGGCGGTTTGTTTTTGTTTTGGAGAAAAGGGAACCCTTGCTAGAATTAACTGAGTTAATTGGTTCCTGGCAACATTGACTTCCTCCTCTTGCCTTCCCTGAACTCTGTCCCGCAGAGGAGGGCTGACTTACCGCACTCGTGCCTTTCCATCGAATAGCCCCTCCCCTCCCAAAGTGGAACAAGGTCCTTCACTTACTTCTAGGTGAGAAGAGCCACTCTCCGTGGACAGGCAGGACCGGCAGGGGGGGCTCACTATCCTGGGATCAAGGAGGGAATCACGTCCGCCACCTCTGACTACCTGCGTTAAGGTTAGGTCGTTGCTTTTGTTCAAGTGGTTAGTAGTGAGCCAATTTCTTCCTACTGAAGTGTCAAGTGAGGGCGTGTGGGGTTATTCTCCATGGTGAATTAGGGTGCGGTGCCCACCTGACCGATGTGTACATACACACATACACATGCATATATGCATTTGTGTATGCACCCATATACATAGTTTACATCTATCATGTATACATGTGTGCATATGTACAATACACATGTACATATGTGTAAAATGTATGTACACATATATGTACATTTCCCCCTTCTTTTCCTTTTGCTTCCCCCGCCCCACCCAGCTCTCTCAAGGACAACATTTGGCCTCTGGATGGCACTAGCTGAACAGCTTTCAGGACCAATTCAATCCCTGATTTCTGAACCCAAGCTTAGGAAAATGTACAGGAGATGACTCACCGGCGACTGGGGTTCTGTCTTCAGGGCACAGGATGCAGAGCAGGTCTGCCCTGGCACCTGGTGACCGTGGCCGAGCATCAGGGACCCACGTCCAGGCTCCTGCTCTCGGGTGATGGAGGCTGGGGTTCTTTGCTTCCATCAGGGGCCGCCAGGGGGCAGCCTTTACCTCTGACTTTGCTTCGCGTGTTCTCTGTAAGGTACTTCCTGGGGCCGTTTCATAGAGTATTAGACTATCTTATAACTTTAGAGGTCAAAACCTGACCTAAATAAAAGTTGGCAGAGAAATTGACCACAAAAGGGAACCTTGACTGTTACCAGACCCCTTTTGCAAAATGAGCACACTGAGGACACCTCTGTTGGGTTTTTTTTTGCTCAAGGTTTTGGCAGAGCGTGGGTTTGCAGCCACATTCACTAACTCCCAGCCCAGCATTATTTTTACCACTCCAAGCAGCTTCCTGCATTAGTTTTTTTAAATTATGAAAAAACTTTGGGGGTTTTAACTTTAAGGAAAAAGAGAAAATGGAAAATATGTGAGGTTGTAGAGCTTTAAGATGTTTCTCTTTTCATGTTATGGGATATTTCTACTGAGCTTGGCTTGTGGATTTCTTCACTGTGGCATGTTAGTTTCACCATCACAGATTTTCAGTTCTCGGTGGTAGTGTGTGCCTCCCCGCTATGCGTGGTAGAGGTTGGGAGTGCAATCTGCCTTGGTGTCTTTAGGGGAGTGATTAGAACTAAAGCATATTTTGGTTTCGTCTAAGTCTGAACCTGAAGGTGTGCATCTATATTGGAAGACTATAGCATCTTAGAAATAGGCATTTATTCTACCATATTGGGAGATTGTTTCTTGAGTTGTTTTCTCCAATGAATAGGATCTGCATCTTTTTAAAATTAAAATGTAGAAGCACTGACTGAACAAATCTAGCAGTGTTATTTCACATCCAACGAATTTACCAAGCTGTGTACAAATCAGTTATTCAAGAACACGTCTGCAAGATACCACAGTAAGCAACTGAAAAGTGAAAAACGGAGACATCCAAGCAGGTATTTACAAATGCTCAACAACCATTTGCCTCATTTAAAACCAAGTCAACTGGTTATTTAATGGGAGTGATTGAATCAAGTCGGTGCTTTATGTGGCCACAAACGATGTCTCTATTTTCCATTAGAAAAGCTTTCTACCCTCGTGTAGACAGTGATGTACAGTTGGCCAGTTTTCCTTCAAATGTGACTCTCTGGGAAGAATAAAATTAAATAGAGAAAGAACCAAGCTTCTCCCTGCTTGATTCTCATTTCCCCAGAATTCTGTGACTCCACATAGAATCCTGCTACAATAGCCTTCAAGACTCCTTCACAAAACCTGTCAGGGTGGCACCTTTCCTGCCATCAGAACTCAGCTGATAACCTGTCAATACAATTATAGGGAGAGACTGCTTGGTTTGCGCCCCTGACAGCCTTGAATCTTCTGTCACCCTGGAGAGGCTGCCTGTGTACAGGGGTGGAATTTATGGAATCGAACACCCTTAGAAAGTGCAAATGATTGCGGCACTGGATTTTTTCATAATTTATTACTGACTTTGTTTTTCTGTGGGGTTTTATGTCACCAATAAGAAGTGCATGCATTTGTAAAATAGAATCACAGAATAGACACAGCCTTTGGGGCTGGAAGGAATCTTACAAACACCTATCTAGTCCACCTTCTTTTTGGAGGAGATCAAGGCCTAGTGAGGGGAACAGACTCATCTGAGGTGCTATCCTCACCTGGTGGCAGAAGGGGGATGAGACTCGGGTCTCTCCTGGATTCCAGCCCCATGTTCTTTTGGCCACAACATACGGTTAATTAACCAATGACAATTCAGGTTGGTAACATCTTGTATAGCAGGCAGTCAAAAAGTGTTCACAGATGAATCAGATTCCAGTATCATTTCATTCAGTGTTCCTTCCAAAGTGAGCTCTACTGATTTCTTAGGACTTTTTGCAGCCAAGAAATATTTGTTGGAGGTTTACTAAGTGCCCAGCACCACCCTAAGCTTTCGTGGGGGCATAGAAACAGGGTTAGAATTCAGCGTTGCTGCGTTTCACAGGAGTTAACCATTTACTATTTAGCTGGGGAGATGGTATATGTACACACGTTTATAAATGCAGATAGAGATGAACGCACAGGGGCACAGCACAGCACCTGACGTAAGGAATGCTCTTGGGAAAGGTTAGGTCTTATTGTTACACACACACACACACACACACACACACACACACACACAAGCTTGCATGCACAAATCAGACAGACACTGTGATGGGTGACCACCCCCATAAGTTTTTGAGTGAGCTGCATTGCCCAGCAGAGTTCAGATTTTCAGGAAGGGAACTCAGGGCAGGTCTCAGGGACTTGGAACCAGACCTTGAAAAGTGAAAAAGCAGAGTTGGGAAGGTCATTCAGCTCAATTCTGCCTTCCTTAGATCCTAAATGTTTGTAGGTTTTCACCCCAACTTGAGTCCTAGTTTACAAGACCCGGTGCTGCTGCTGGGATCATTATCATGATCATCACGAGGAGGCGTTTATTTAGAGCCAGTGTGTTCAAATTGGGTGCTCTGCAGAATTAGGCAACCACACCGTGCCCACTAATAGCTTAACATCTCTAATAAATATTGATGCCGGTGAACATAAAGGCACGGAGAGAGACCAACACAAAGAAGGCAGGCAGACAAAAGTGCAGTCGTACAAATATCCCAGCGTGGGTCAGTATTTTTATTACATTTGAGTACAATGTGAAAATGTTACATGCAGCTTTATTGTTGAGGAGAATATACCCCTGATTGCTGCAATCCGTTTACATTCAATTACAATGTAATAGGAGAAAATAAACCCTTAGGAAGGGATTAAAAATCGAGCTGCCCGTCCTCATGGCCCCGTCTTGGCGGGCCAGTGGGCTGTTTTCCTTTTTCTAGGGAGTGCTGTGGGTTTATCCATCCTTGCAGCTCTCTCCCTCTTGGTCCTTTTTCCCTTTTTTTTTTTTTTCTTTTTAAATCAAAGCCTCCCGATTCCAGGTGCCCAGGCACATTCTTCAGTGAGTCGGGCTGAGGCAGGAAACTCACCCCCCTGCCCAGACCTGTGGCCATTTCAGAAAGCCGAGCTGCCCCCTCCACTGGCTTGTCACCACCGTGGGGCAGCCGCTGCCCTGACGGAGAAGCCTGCTGTCCTCTTTGTCCCTCTGAAGAAGGTGTGCTTTGGCTCTGAAGCATTAATTAACAGCAGACCTCAGCACTTGGGTTCCTCCTGTTGAACTCAGCACCTCCCCATTATGTGGCTCTCAGGACGCTGCGGTGGCGTGGCGGGAAGGCCATTTCTCCAGGAAGAATTCTGAGGCCAGAGTGAACTAATCAGAGGTCCCTTCTCACACCTTCTAGAGCGTTCCAGGCTCAAGCGTTCGTCACTGTATAATTCTGCCTGCTTGTTCCTCATTTTGAAAGACAAAGTTTCCTTCGTTTACAGCTGACCTTGCAGACAAAATTTCAAAACCCCATTATTTATTTATTTATTTATTTATTTTTGAGAAGGAGTCTTGCTCTGTTGCCAGGCTGGAGGGCAGTGGTGCAATCTT